ACAAAATAATTTCCAGCCCAGAATTCTACATCCCACTAAGCTAAGCTTTAAAATTGATGGAGAAACCAAATCTTTTACTGATATGCAAACACTGAGGAAATTTGCCACAACACCAGCTCTACAGGAAATATTTCAACCTGTTCTACACACTGACCACCACAACGGACCACCAGTAAATTAAAGGACAGAACCTAGCTTCCACAATGATGCAAACAACAAAACTAAGCAATGGACTTTCACAAAATAAGATGAATAGAATGTTACCAAAATTATCAATTATCTCAATAAATGTTAATGGCCTGAGCTCCCCACTGAAGAGGCAAAGACTGACTGATTGGATTAAAAAACACAAGCCATCTGCTCACTGCAGGAAACACATCTCAAAAGACAAATTAAAGCTCAGAGTTAAGGGTTGAAAAACAATTTTTCAGGCAAATAGAATCTAGAGAAAAGAGGGGTTGCAATCTTATTTTCAGATACATATGGATTTAAAACAACTAAAGTCAACAAAGACAAAGATGGTCACTTCATATTGGTCAAGGGAAAAATACAACAAGGAGACTTTTCAATTCTAAATATTTATACACCTAACTTAAATGCTCCCAGATTCTTGAAACAGACCTTAATTATTCTGAGCAATATGATATCCTATAACACCATAAAAACAGGAGACTTTCACAGAGCTGGACACATCCTCTAAACAGAAATTAAACAAAGATATGAGACTTAAATGAGACCCTAGAAGAACTGTGCTTGATAGATATATATAGAACACGTCTAGATAGAACACTCCATCCCAAAGATAAAGAATATATATTCTTCTCATCGTCCCATGGAATGTTCTCCAAAACTGATCATATCCTAGGACACAAAACAAACCTCAACAGAATCAAAAGAATTGAAATTTTACCTTATATCTTCTCAGATGACAAGGCACTAAAGGTTGAACTCAACTCCAACAAAAACGAATAACACCACACAAAGGCATGGAAATTAAACAACCTTATGCTGAATGACAGTTGGGTGCAGGAAGAAATAAAAAAGGAAATCATTAATTTCCTTTAGCAAAACAACGAAGATACAAGCTACCAAAACCTGTGGGATATGGCAAAAGCAGTCCTGAGAGGACAACTTATCGCTTTAGAAGCTTACATTGGAAAAACAGAAAGAGTGCATCAACAAACTTAGAAGCCATCTTATGAAATTGGAAAAAGAAAAATCCAGGCCTAAACCCAGCAGAAGAAGAGAAATATCCAAAATTAAATCAGAAATTAATAAAATTGAAAACAAAGGAATCATTCAGAAAATTAATGAAACAAGTTTGGTTTTTGAAAAAATAGATAGATAAACCTTTGGCCAGACCAACTAGAAATAAAAAAGTAAAATCTCTAGTAACCTCAATCAGAAATAATAAAGGGAAAATAACAACCGATGCCACAGAGATACAAGAGGTTATCTCTGAATATTACCAGAAACTCTACGCCCAGAAATTTAACAATGTGAAGGAAGTGGATCAATATTTGAAATCACAACCTCTCCCTACACTTAGCCAGGAAAAATGATCTCCTGAACAGGCCAATTTCAAGTACTGAGATCAAAGAAACAATAAAAAATCTTCCAACAAAATAGTGCCCTGGTCCGGATGGCTTCACACCAGAATTCTATTAAACTTTCAAAGAAGAGCTTATTCCCAGACTGCAGAAATTATTCCAAAAATTGAGGAGGAATAAATCTTCTCCAACACGTTCTACGAAGCAAATATCACCCTGATACCAAAACCAGGAAAAGACCCAACTAAAAAGGAGAATTTCAGACCAATTTCACTAATGAATATAGATGCAAAAATTCTCAACAAAATCCTAGCCAGTAGATTATAGCTTATTATCAAAAAAATCATACATCAAGTAG